GAATCGACTCAGAATAGGAAAAGGAGACGTTTAGGTCAATTTTATGCATTCTGGCGTTCGTAGATACAAGGAAACTGTTAAAATTCTTCAGAAACGTCACTTTTGAAGTGTTTTCTTCTACTTTTAAGCCACTCAGATACCCTACGGGCTCGGAAAGTGCAACGAAACCATCAAATTTTAGCTAGAAACTGTATTTTTGTCGATTTTTATTCAATTTGAACTATATTTCAACGTTTTTTGATGGTTCTGAGCCACCAAACACACTTAAAGCATGCAGAATCGACTCAGAATAGGAAAAGGAGACGTTTAGGTCAATTTTATGCATTCTGGCGTTCGTAGATACAAGAAAACTGTTAAAATTCTTCAGAAACGTCACTTTTGAAGTGCTTTCTTGTACTTTTAAGCCACTCAGATACCCTACGGGCTCGGAAAGTGCAACGAAACCATCAAATTTTAACTAGAAACTGTATTTTTGTCGATTTTTATTGAATTTGAACTATATTTCAACGTTTTTTGATGGTTCTGAGCCACCAAACACACTTAAAGCATGCAGAATCGACTCAGAATAGGAAAAGGAGACGTTTAGGTCAATTTTATGCATTCTGGCGTTCGTAGATACAAGAAAACGGTTAAAATTCTTCAGAAACGTCACTTTTGAAGTGTTTTCTTGTACTTTTAAGCCACTCAGATACCCTACGGGCTCGGAAAGTGCAACGAAACCATCAAATTTTAACTAGAAACTGTATTTTTGTCGATTTTTATTGAATTTGAACTATATTTCAACGTTTTTTGATGGTTCTGAGCCACCAAACACACTTAAAGCATGCAGAATCGACTCAGAATAGGAAAAGGAGACGTTTAGGTCAATTTTATGCATTCTGGCGTTCGTAGATACAAGAAAACTGTTAAAATTCTTCAGAAACGTCACTTTTGAAGTGTTTTCTTGTACTTTTAAGCCACTCAGATACCCTACGGGCTCGGAAAGTGCAACGAAACCATCAAATTTTAACTAGAAACTGTATTTTTGTCGATTTTTATTGAATTTGAACTATATTTCAACGTTTTTTGATGGTTCTGAGCCACCAAACACACTTAAAGCATGCAGAATCGACTCAGAATAGGAAAAGGAGACGTTTAGGTCAATTTTATGCATTCTCGCGTTCGTAGATACAAGAAAACTGTTAAAATTCTTCAGAAACGTCACTTTTGAAGTGTTTTCTTGTACTTTTAAGCCACTCAGATACCCTACGGGCTCGGAAAGTGCAACGAAACCATCAAATTTTAACTAGAAACTGTATTTTTGTCGATTTTTATTGAATTTGAACTATATTTCAACGTTTTTTGATGGTTCTGAGCCACCAAACACACTTAAAGCATGCAGAATCGACTCAGAATAGGAAAAGGAGACGTTTAGGTCAATTTTATGCATTCTGGCGTTCGTAGATACAAGAAAACTGTTAAAATTCTTCAGAAACGTCACTTTTGAAGTGTTTTCTTGTACTTTTAAGCCACTCAGATACCCTACGGGCTCGGAAAGTGCAACGAAACCATCAAATTTTAACTAGAAACTGTATTTTTGTCGATTTTTATTGAATTTGAACTATATTTCAACGTTTTTTGATGGTTCTGAGCCACCAAACACACTTAAAGCATGCAGAATCGACTCAGAATAGGAAAAGGAGACGTTTAGGTCAATTTTATGCATTCTGGCGTTCGTAGATACAAGAAAACTGTTAAAATTCTTCAGAAACGTCACTTTTGAAGTGTTTTCTTGTACTTTTAAGCCACTCAGATACCCTACGGGCTCGGAAAGTGCAACGAAACCATCAAATTTTAGCTAGAAACTGTATTTTTGTCGATTTTTATTGAATTTGAACTATATTTCAACGTTTTTTGATGGTTCTGAGCCACCAAACACACTTAAAGCATGCAGAATCGACTCAGAATAGGAAAAGGAGACGTTTAGGTCAATTTTATGCATTCTGGCGTTCGTAGATACAAGAAAACTGTTAAAATTCTTCAGAAACGTCACTTTTGAAGTGTTTTCTTGTACTTTTAAGCCACTCAGATACCCTACGGGCTCGGAAAGTGCAACGAAACCATCAAATTTTAGCTAGAAACTGTATTTTTGTCGATTTTTATTGAATTTGAACTATATTTCAACGTTTTTTGATGGTTCTGAGCCACCAAACACACTTAAAGCATGCAGAATCGACTCAGAATAGGAAAAGGAGACGTTTAGGTCAATTTTATGCATTCTGGCGTTCGTAGATACAAGAAAACTGTTAAAATTCTTCAGAAACGTCACTTTTGAAGTGTTTTCTTGTACTTTTAAGCCACTCAGATACCCTACGGGCTCGGAAAGTGCAACGAAACCATCAAATTTTAGCTAGAAACTGTATTTTTGTCGATTTTTATTGAATTTGAACTATATTTCAACGTTTTTTGATGGTTGTGAGCCACCAAACACACTTAAAGCATGCAGAATCGACTCAGAATAGGAAAAGAAGACGTTTAGGTCAATTTTATGCATTCTGGCGTTCGTAGATACAAGAAAACTGTTAAAATTCTTCAGAAACGTCACTTTTGAAGTGTTTTCTTGTACTTTTAAGCCACTCAGATACCCTACGGGCTCGGAAAGTGCAACGAAACCATCAAATTTTAGCTAGAAACTGTATTTTTGTCGATTTTTATTGAATTTGAACTATATTTCAACGTTTTTTGATGGTTCTGAGCCACCAAACACACTTAAAGCATGCAGAATCGACTCAGAATAGGAAAAGGAGACGTTTAGTATTATTATTATTATTATTATTGAAGCGAACACCAACAGGCGCTAACCCAATTAGGGTGTCCGAATAAAGGCAGGGAATAATTGTTAAATATTAATGAAAAATTACGAGAAGAAAAAGAACAAAAATACCAAAATAATTAAATTACGAATAGACATTAGATTTTGCGTTAATTAAGTTTTAAAATGTTTTAATAATTTACTTTTAATTGCTCTCTTCTTGTCAAAATATATATCAATATCTGGTAGGCTTTTTAAAATTGCGTTGTATGTCTGTTGCATCCACCTTATTGGTGAATTTTCTAATGAGCAAGTTCTTGCTTTCTCAACATAAAATAAGTCTTTGTTCCTCGATCGAATTAGTTGTGCTCTATATGTAATTTGTGTCAATAGTTGTGGATTATTGACAGCACCATTTAACAATGTATTTAAAAATAAGATTCCAGCTATTTTCCTCCTTGTTTCGAGCGACATTATTTCAAATCTATTCAATAAGCTTTCTTGTGGAAAACCACGCTGTGGGTACACACCATCTAAACGAAATGCCAGGCCCTTTAAGAAACGTCTTTGAACTTTCTCTATAGTGTTTATACTTATTTTTGTTGCAGGGTTCCAGACAATCGATGCATATTCAAGTTTGGCTCGTACCAGTGTTTTGTACAAACATATATTTGTCTCGGTTTTAGAGAACTCTTTAGACGATCTCATAATAAATCCTAATACTTTAGAAGCTCTATTTGTAACCGTGATGACATGTTGCTTGAAATTTAAATGTTTGTCAAATGTGACACCTAGGTCTTGAATAAATTCTGGTCTGTTTATACTATATAAATTTATCAAATAATCGAAATTTAGAATATTTTTTTTTCGTGAATAAGTCATGACCTTACACTTAGTAAAATTTATTTGTAAATTATTATCTATAAACCACTGATATGTTTGATTCAAATTCTCCTGTAATTTTCGACAATCCTGAATACTGTTTATTTGTCTTAATAATTTGATGTCATCTGCATACAGCAGGAACTCGATGTCTATCACTCTTTGAATATCGTTTATAAATATATTGAAAAGCAGTGGCCCCAGTACAGAGCCCTGAGGTACACCAGACTTTTGACTATAAGGATCAGATTTATGACCACGACACTGGACATATTGAAACCTGTTTGATAAGTAAGAAGAGAAGATTTGGATTAAAGACTGAGACAAGCCGAATGAGGATAATTTCTTTAGAAGTATTCTATGATCTAGTGTGTCGAATGCTTTCGATAAATCTATGTATATAACATCTATTTGGCCCGTTTTATCCATAACTCTAGATATAGCTTGAGTGGTGTTGATAAGATTTGTCAAAGTTGATCTTCCCTGAACGAAACCATGTTGATTATCAGAAAGTAATACGCTCACAGGCCGACTTATTCTTGCATGTAGAACTGACTCAAACACTTTTGAAAAATTCGATATTAAAGCTATCGGTCGATAGTTGGAAATTTCTGATTTGTTTCCGTGAGTAGTTAATAAATGGGGCTGACGTCACACAAGCTCCGTGTAAATCTTATGGACTTCCGGTCTACTGAAACGGTATCGCTCTCCTTGTCTAACACGTGGCGTTTTTGGATCCCTGTTTGTCGTCTCGCTCTCGCTTATTGTTGTAATGGAGAGGTGTGTGTGGTGCGCGCGCAGGATGGAAGATGGCGCCACCGCTGTATCGCGCGGCGCTCAATTTTTAAATTTATGAAAAAAAGTTTTTTTTCCTCGTCTTTATGCGGGAATCGAACGTCGTCCGATCTCGTGCTAACCGTCACCTCGGCATCTCGACTATCGCAGGGACCCTGAATGGAGCGTATTGTCAATCGTATTTATGCGTGTGTGTTTGTATGACCTCCAGTGGAGGAGGGGCCGCCGAGTCGGCCTTTTCCTGCAACCACTGTGTTAGGAAAATCAAGGGAATGACTCATTAAATACGGTCATAATTTATTAATGAACCAAAATATTTCAAATGAGCGTCCCCAAATTTTCTTAACACAAAGGGTGTGGCCGTGTACAGGAAGTGTATGTGGTGTTTCTAAATTTCGCATGCACCATTTATAACATACAAATCAGAGAAAAAAAAACCTCCATAATTTGTTGATTATTTATTGATAATATAGGTTACAGGTATATGTATTATAAATCATAACAAAAAAGAAAATATTTCAACACATACAGAATCAGCTTCTTATGAAAAAAAAAGTTATATATTTTTCATTCGTTGACAATTTTATAATGACCCCAAGGCAAAGTTTCAACTACATTATTGGGTAATATATATCGTTTATTGTCCGATGAATCGAGTGCTTTTTTATGAATTTTTACGGTAAAAACTTGGTGGTTTTTCGACTGGATTGTATTAAAAGTGCAATTCTGATTTACTTCATTAAATAAACATTTATAAAAGTCATCAAACGTAATATGCTTTATGGCTGTTTTACCAACACCTTTAAGTTTTCGAACGCTACTATCTTTTCCGTCGATTTTGAAGCCGTACACTTTTGATTTAAGCGATACAAATTCCGTCATTATTTTACCACATAGTTCATCTTTAAATTTTCCTGGTACCTTTTTATTCACTTGTGGAATACCCCACTGATTATCCACAGGCAAATCTGAAGTGTCAAATAACAAAGATGCGTAATCTCGAATTATATGATAAATATCGGTTGTATCTTCTTTACGTAAAGTTGTAAATTCGTAAATGAAACTGTCGGTATCCATATATAATAATTTGGAAGCGAACCAATTTGATAGGTCTTTTTTGACAAAATTATAATGAAAATCGTACATTAACGTTTTTGATAATTCTAAAATTGTAAATCCTACGTAAATCGGCTTCTCGAAATTTATAGTTGTTTTATTCAATTCAACAACAACCAAATCTTCGTTTATAATTTGCGAACACTTAAATTCTGGCAAAGAGATATATTTTCTAGCGGTAAACCAATTGTTTGCTAGTTTTATTTTACGTTTCTTTCGATCGTTTTCCAGTGTTTTGCCATAATTGGCATTTATCATCAATTTAAAAAAGTCTTTTTCAAAAGCAGATTTGGCTTGCATTCGTAAATCAGTATTGAACATTATATATGGCTTTAACCAAGGTTTTTGTGAGAATTCTAAAACACGATGTATTTTTATCACTTTCAGACCGAAATGCACTGTTTGTCTTAAGTTCTCAAGATGAATTACGTATTTAGTTTTGTCGCATAAAGTGCATAATAATTTCTCTGAATTATTTTGCGAATTAGGAGGCATCTGATGTTCACAACAAAATGGTAATTGTTCATGTAAATCATGAAGAGACTGCGAATATTCCAAATCAACTTCTAAAATACAACATTTATCAGCAGTGTTTGCATAGCATGTATTTATATCTAGACTTTCAATTTCGAAATTATCTAACCACCTAAAATGATCGTATGGTAAACTCTGGCACTGTGCCCATCCGTAAAGATTACATACGTCCCAATAAATTAGATATTTAGTATCCAAATTTGGATCATATGACGAACAATACTTATTATTGGCTTTTGAATATCGACATATAGATTGTGATATACCACCTCTTAAAGCTTTTTCAATGAAAAGGGTCATATCGATATCTGTGAATAATCTGAGTTTAATTTGTGTCATTTTCAAAGCAGCAGCCCATGATAAGCCAGGTGCTGTAAAAAAACCGGCAGCATCGAGTCCATAATACTTCATAGTCAGATTTCTAAAATTTTCAAAGCAGTCAGCTAAAAGCAATACGTCGAGTTTCAAATAAAACAGGGCGTAATCACTTAAATTTTTAATAGAAAATTCATCCCATATTAGTTTAGCGTGAGCATAATCTTCGTCTGATATGTGTTCATCGTGCAGACTACTATAAAAATAATGTTTTTCAGGCAGTTTCGTTTTCGATAATTTATCCCAACAATCTAAGTACTCGTAACAAAACACTTGTTTTCGTGTTAACAATGGAAAACTTTTTACATCAGAAAAATATGACTTTGTAATTAAAAGTTGATCGGGAGTTAGATTTTTAACAAGAGAATCTAAGGACGAAGATAAAAACCTGTATGAATCTAAAAATGTAACTCGAGTTTGATTGAAATAAGTCGAAAATCCAATATATTTTTCCATATTTAATGGTACCAAATTGACATAATTACTACGAGCCAATTCCTCAATAAAAAGATGAGCGTCATACCCACTAAGATTATGTAAAAAAACGGGTATACTATAATCTTTTTTGCACTGTAAATTACAATTTTGACAATACGGTGCTATATATTTCCCTGTAAGATGATCATGATGGTGGACTTTTGGATTGGTTTCGCAATAAACGCGACCGCAGATAGGACATTCCATTGACGAATTATAATTTAATTTTTCCTCGTCCGAAAGGGGCAACATTGGCAAATCTCGCGAGCGTAGAATTTGCGTCATTTTGTTAATTTCTTTCTGAAGTTTTGCAATGAACCAAGAAGCCGGTGTTTGATCATTTGGTGAACTGGCAATATAACTAAAGAATGTATTTAAACTATTGTCAAAAGAACAGACACTCGTGAACGCTACACTGTAAGGTATATGTCGATATTTCATCGGATGATCATTACCTTTAATTAACAAACATTCAAAATCTGCATAAATAACAAAACCTTTTTTAAGAAGCGCTTTGTAATTTGAAAATTCTAAATGAGCACTAGATTCATCAGGTAAAGTAATCTTAACTGGAGAAAATAATTTACAATCCTGCTGATGCGACTCGTAATGTGATTTAAGGGAGAAATGATTTAAACATCTATCGCAAATGAACATTTTCGCTTTATGAGCCGAAATATTTCTTCCACAAACTTTACTTAAGTCGCTAATAAGACAATAATGGCCATGTTTGGATCGAGTCTTTTTTAAATATAATAAATTTATGTGATGGTTTTTTACATTTTTTGTATGATATATAGGACCTTCAATTTCATGCGTTTTGTCATTGACCGTGAACACGTTAATTGATATGTTAGAATTTTGAGCTTCAAATTTAGGAATACTTGATAACTGAACAGGCATTTGTACACCACGTAAATTTAATATATCGTGATAGTTCTGCGGATAGGCATCAGTACGTTCATAATTACTATCTTTACAGGGATAAAGACTTGCAAGTACCGACCATACAAAACAAAGACGATCAGTATTCATTATATTAATAATGCCTCCTTTCTTTTTCAATTCTGTTGGCAACGGTATGTAGATTCGGCCGTTTATTGGAGTGTACTTGTTGAACGCAACCATTAGCTGACATATTTTCCGTAGACTCCATCCAGATTTAGATTCTGCGAATTCTTCCATCTGTAATAATACCATACCTTGTTATTAAGTGAAAAAAAAAATCTAAATAACTTACTTTGGTTTGAATAATTCCAGCTAAATCGTCAATAGATTTCTGAATGTCGGTCGATAATAAAATCATAGTGTTGGGTGTGTTGAAATACTTCAGGGACACTTCTCCTGTCGATGGAATTATGTATTCACAAGACATCTCGAAATTTAGTTTAATCGCTGTCATCTTTTTGAGAATATTTGTGATTCTTGAAAAAATTAACGGGCTGGCGTCGTGAAAAAATCGACGAATATCAACAAGATTCTCATCTAAATTAACAACTGCTCCTGTTCTCACGCGACCGACGAAAGCTGATTTTACCTAAGTAAAATTAATGTTTCTTATTTGATACTAAGGGGAATGAATAAAACTTACCTCTATCCAGCGAACCTTACTGTTTCTTCTCTTTTTACTATTACCGTATCCAATTTTTTCATTCTCGATTTTTGATTCGATATGTAAATTTAATCCTTTGATACGTGCTAAATAATTTTCCAATCTTCTTTTTTCCCCAACACAGTCAGAATTTCGCAATACACCATTCACGATTCGTAGATTTTTTCGATTCAATTTTAACACTTTTTCTAATTTCTGGACGTTGTTGTTACACAGTTGCATCATTTTGGTAACAGAATCGATCATTTTCTCGATTACTTCTGTTGTAGCTGATTCCATTGTGAAAAAAAAAACACCACTAAGTACTAACACTAATAATGCTGATTAAATATAAATTGATAATAATTATATTGTTACGAGCTGTTTTATATCTGCACGATTTCGTAGAGATGCGCTGGGTTGCTCTTTCCAGTGTCCTTGGTGCCATGATATACCAAAGCCAAACAAAGAACGTCCTCATGGATAGATTCGATCAAGTCATCGGACATATTATCTGCCATCCTTTTTGGTAAAAATATGACACCTTCTTCGAGTTCCACAAGGACACAATCACCAAATTTTCCTTTAACTTTTTTCACATCACAAATCGGGTATTTCTCACCAATCTTTAGCTCATCGGGATTTAATTTCGGTTTAGTTTCACATTTCCCAATTTTGTTCAATTCATTCAAACTAGCAGCCATTTTATATTTTCGCTGATATGAGAGTTAAGATTTCACACGTAGGTACTGCACGCAAGTGAGTCGCGAATATGAATAGATAGCTCTATTATTATTGTTATTCATTATTGTGGTAGGGAATTAAAACAAAGACGCTTTTATTTATTTTTTATTCATTTATTTATTTTATCATTCAGCCTACAAATTCTTGAATAGTACATGTCTGCAGGAAAAACGCTGAAATAATACATTTAATAATTATTATTAATCGTTCGATGCGAGATCAGAAAAAAACTTGAAACTTTTCCGTGCTGGTAATTTTGAAAATTACATTTGTTATATATATATGTTAACAAAAATCTAAATTTAATATTAATCGGTTGATGCGAGATCTGCAAAAACCTTAAAACTTCGCTGTGCTAGCAGTTCTTTCATGCAGTGTAAATTAGCAGTCGTAGCATAATAAATTTTTTCAGGTGGGACATATTTTAAGTAACGAATCATATTATTATAAAAATTACAAAATTGTAACTCTTCTAAGAATTTTAATCTATAACATATTGTTTCGTCTAATGCTATGATTTCACGGCAAAGCGCTGGTCCTAAATGTAAAACCGTATCGCCTCTTCTCAATTCGATGACTGTTGGTCCACTGCAAAAATCATGTGATGTTGCAATGTTCAATTCGAAACCGTCGAACTGAAATTTCTTAGGAGCATCACAGTCCAAATTCGATGTTTCAAAATGTATTTTAATTAAAATATTCAAAAACTGCACAAAACACTTCCAGTTTTCTGTAGTAAATGTTACACAACGATTTTGCCAGTTCAGAATTTTTACGACATGTAAAAAATCTAGCACAACACTTAAGCCAGTAGAAATGCGAAATAAGGGATTCGTCAATTCATATTTTTCTTCAAATATCGAATTTTTCTCATGATTTAATTCGTCGTCTCGATCAAGTAACGGAAAGTCATCATCTATCGAAATAGTACGGGAATCGAAATTGATGCTGTTAACGTTAGTTCTTGCTTTCGCAAAAGTAGGACAATCGCATGTTGTGTATTCACTAGCACTTTTATCACGATGCATGCTTGAAATGCAAGCACCTTCGTCCATGGCTGAACGTAAACTAACACAAATGTTCATTTGAATCAAGCTGATAAAATAATAGACCGTAAGTACTAACTTTTTCTAAGATAACAAAAACTCTGCACATGTCAACAAAAAAAAACTTCAATATTAAGTTCCACAAACAATTTTATTTAAGGTAATTTTCCAATCAACCAATTGTATATAGTCTTACAATTTTCGTAACTACATACACATGCTGTTTTCTGTCCGTTTATGTGGTGCGTACAATTGTACGGTATACACTGAAGAAGGTGTGGAACGTCCAGTGTGTTTTCCAAATTTATTAGACGAATTCCATTATATTGTCCAAGGTTGAATTGGAGAAAGTGTTGTTTGATGTGTCCTTTTACATAGACCGTGTCTACTTGATCCTGTATAATATGTTTGTATAAAATATTCGGGACCTCGTTAGAATCTACGATGCCGTCGTTGTATCTCAGATGATGATGATTGTTCTCGAACCATCGTATATGTTTTTTAATTTTCGGATCAAGATCTTTAAACGGCTTGAGTGATTTAATCCAATAATGCGCTACATACCGACCATCCGTGAATGTCATCTCCTTCGGTATAAATTCAGGAATACAAAATCCCTGCATATCTATTACCAGAAACTTCATCTTGTTCAGACTGTCAAACCAAGACTGATAAATTTTTTCGATCTGTGTTCAACTTTTAATACAGGATTTAAAATTTGTTCAGTCCTCAGAATACGTAAACGAAATCTATCTCTATCTGCAGCACATTGTATCCATTTATCACCTCTTCTGGCTTGAGAGTAAGCGTATGACCAATGACACATATAATGAATAGTTGGAGGTGCTTCAGAGAAACTAACACTTTTTTTCATATTAAGAATTGCACTTTTTCACTTTTAGGTCTATATTCAATTATCTTATCGTGTATAATTAAACAATAAGCCTTGGTCGATTCGGGAAAATTTTCATGACTTTCAAATTCTAACTTTATGTCTACCACTGACGCTTTCAGAGGTTCAGGTTGTTTTGAACAATCAATTACAAACAGAGGTGTGTTGGCAAAAGTAGAGTAGTCAATTATTGGATCGGCAGCAGAATTTCCAGTCAACTGTTGCACTAAATTCATATATGCCGTATATGCTGATAGATACTGATTAGATGTAAAATCGAGACTATGATCTGCATAAGGATAAACACTTGAACCCACCCATGCTTGATATTTTCTCAAGTTAATATGGCTGAATTTCGCAACATCTTTTTTATGATTGTCTTTTATGTTTGTTTGGAATGCGAGGACGATGTATCTGGGCGTTTCCAAATTTGTCGTTGTTTTAATACTCCAAATTTCTTTGTCAGTGCCTGTTTTTAACTTTGGTAATTCATGAAGTTCACATTTTCTGTAACCTATAGTTATAGGTTTATCGGTTTGAATTTTCGGCCATAGCGTTATTTTCGCTTTGTCGCTGGGATAAATGTGCTTTGCTTGTATCGACACGCTATGCACTTTTATGGTTGCTTTCTTTGCACTTCCAGTGACCATATACGCGTTATCATCATTGCGACTGCGTACAAGTCGTATAGAATGATGTCCAAACATAACGTTTCTATAGTAAAAGAATATACCAAAAATATAACTAAATGGCACCCATATTTCAAATTTCTTGGTTTTTTCGTCTTGGGTAAGTATTGTATGGCCTGTTGCATTTGGATTCCAACCGGCTTGTATAAGATTCTTAGACTGATTTGCTGAATAAGCACAATAATTATGAATGGTTGTTGTAGTACCAGGATCTCTTATTTTTTCAACTTCTTTGCCATTAAAAGAGTAAATTATGGATTCAAACAGGTAAAGACCTGCATTATTTGTTAATTTACATTCTCCAGCAACAGGGGTTTCTGTTTTTTCACTTTCTATAGCAACAGGTATTGTAGTAGTTGCTTCTTCTTTTAGTTCGCCAATAATGCGAAGTTTCGAATCACTCATGCAAATAAATGCATCAGGTTGATGAATGTCAATTTGTATCTCATCACTGTTATTAAACGATTGCACGTAAGGATAATAAGTACGTTCCTCTTCTCTATCTACGCTTTGGTCTATTGAGGGGGATTGATAGATATCCAAAATTTCTGACATTGTAACCCAAGGAACGTAGAATGTAAACGCTGTACGGTGATAGTGTCTTCACTGGCGAATATCTGTCAACTAAAGATGCGATCCTAAATGACTTCTTATTTATATTACGTGTGTTATTGCGAAATGTAAGACCCATTAATAGTTTTTAATTCCAATCGGACCACTACTTCTTCACCACGAAAGTTGACGGGATCTGAGTTTTGATCGATCAGTTTGATGGTTATTTTATCAATGACGTTTTTGTTAATTAATGGCAAATATAAAGGATGCATTGGTTCGATATTTATGGCATATCCAGGATCTACTGTTGGAGAGAATTCATAGAGGGTGTGACAAGGTAGGCCAGCGTAAAATGAACCTGTCACAATGTTACATTCCACTCGAATTGACGTTACTTTAATAATATTTACAGGCATATCAGACTCGTGTTTTGTATTCGCTACTAATACTTTTTTAGAGAAACCCAATAAATTTCCTAGGGTCCCTTCTTTACCAAAATCAATATTGTAGATACTTTGTAGTTCTGCTTTCAATGTGTTATTATTCGGTTTCAACGAAAAAATTTGATCTCTCGATGTTTTAGTCGATCCATTGATATGTTCTTGGATGTAACGTTCCAGATCGCTTATTTCATAGCTACCTGTCGGAATAATTAATTTCTTTAGATCCACATCTTCTTTCTCTTTCGAGTTTGACGACGATGAAGAATAATAATAATAAAGTTTATCATTTACTCCGGTTTCGACGTTAGGTATGCTATTATATGTGAATAATCCTATTAATCCCAAACAATAATCGTAATTAGGATTTAATTCCACAGGTGGATATAAATCAGCTTCTAGGAAGCTACCGTGACCTTTTAGTGTGAAGGTTCGACTCATGACTAAATAAAAAACTAGTTTTGCTTACAAATTTATTGAATCAAGAACTGCAAACATAAATGTCCACAATTGTATCCTAGATTTTGGTATTTATCTTGATTATATAGTATTCTACAATTATTTAGATAACTTACTAGCTCTGAACACGGTTTCAGATTACCGAAACTATCAAAGTATCGTATAATATTGTTCGATTTCTTATAGGCTACCCAATGAGTTCCACATCCATGTTTTGAATCCAAATTTACAATACCAGATTCATGTTTTCGAGGACCATCTTTTGGCAGATCATCTCTCATGAAAACGTCTCGAAAATGTGGAATGTTTAAGAGTTTTGCGTACTTCCGTAGATCAAAGTCCGTGAGTGCTCTTTTGGGTAGCCTTATTGGAAGTTTTTTCGAAACTTTTTGAGAAAAAGTCCATAACCTTTGAGATGTTTCATCAAGTATAAACCATCGCCCTGTTTACCTATTGCTATAGCTTCCATTTGTTTGTTATGTCGTTCAGATTCTTCCAACGCTTTTTTCGCCGCTTTAGCATCGTTAATCGCTTTAGCTATACCTGCGGCCCCTCCTGAGATAGCACCTATAGCCGATAAACCAGCAAATATTGCAGGTAAAATTGGTAGTATACCACCTATTTTAGGCAGTGGTATTATTCGTGGTATTCGAATGCGTTTTTTACCACCAGCTTTTTTCACCGCTACACGGGCTGTTTTTAATAAGGTCGACACATCATCAACGTCATTAATTTGTTTCTTCAATTTTTTTAACACAGCTTTTTGAAGAGTTGTTTGCGTCTGCGGTTTCTTCTTCTTCGAATTCTTTCTTTGTAGTTGCAAACTCATCCCTAACTTTCTTTTAACTTTCATTGCATTCGTTACGAACCAAGCACTTGCTTTTTCTCCTAACGAAGCGTCTGATGCTTTGACACGTGCCCAAGCCTTGTTTTCTAAAATTTCGTCTGCTTTATGTCTTTCTTTCAGATCTTTAGTTCGTGAATATGCGATATCGTGCTCTTTACAACTTCTATCTAGCTCGTTAATTCCAGGGTCGCCGCGTTCAAGCCTCTTCGCAAGCTTAGTACCCGGACCGCAATATTGATAACCAGGTAAATGTAATTCGACAGGTAATTTGTTAATGAGACTGTTAACAAGTCCTTTACCTT